ATCTCCAGGAGAAAGGGAGCCGGGGCCACGTGGCTCCCGGTTGGCCTCCAGCCAGCCTGGTCTGCTTTGGCTTCTGCCCAGGTTGGCTCTGACCCTGTCTGACTCGCCCTGTCTGGCCCAGTTCTGGCCACCAGTAACCCAGGTCACCACCACTGGGCCTGCCTGAGTTCTCACCAGGCCCTTCCCCTGGTAACTTCAGTCACCTTCAGTGACTGTGGCACTGACAGAAGAGGTCCACCTGTCAGAAGGAAGGTGAGCACCCCTCCTCCACCCCCTTCTCAGTTTCCTCACCAGTCGCACATGGTAGTCCTGCCCCATCTGGCCCTTGGATTTCTGGGGGGCATCCTGGTCCTGGTCCCCATGGTGGTGGCTACTTGCAAAGAAATCCCAGTTCAAAAATATTAATATTTGTCTTGATTCCAGGGAGAAATCACATGTGCATCTTATTATGTTGTAGGGACAGATAAGGCAAGGCACCGAAGACAGCAGGAAACTGTTATTTGGCTGCAGCCAGGTTCAGAGGGCACAGCTTTTGCTGTAACCAATCAATCCCCTAAACCCTAAGTTCAGGGAGTTTCAGAGTTTTATACCCAGATGTAAGGGGAGGGACTCAGAAGTTCACAGTCCACAGAAGTTCACATAAAGCAGCTTTTTCTTTCACTGTTTTGGGCAAGTTAACCCTTCAAGGACACCTGAGAAGGGGAGAGCTGCTTCTTCCCGTCTTTCCTCCCTGCCAGCTGTTACCATGGAGCTCAATTGGTAACTTCTCTTATCTTAGAAATGTAGACGTCTCTGTGAAGCCCACCTTGGTCTTTCTCCAGAGGCCTTGTTTGCACATTTCTACAAACTACTATACTGGATACATGTTTGTGAGAAACTAGTAAGGGGGTGTCCAGCACCTGGAGTGCTGATTTCTTCCCGGCCAGTGGCCAAGTAAAACAGGGCAACACGAAAATAGGAAGTTTATCTACATTGAACTCTTTTGCAGAGACTCTTTTGCCGACATGGTGAAGATTTCTGGAGAAACCCAGTTAAGATTTTCTGTGAAAGGGGGTGCCACTGCAATTACAATATATTGTTACTATTGTCTATTTTCTTATTGGCTATGGTTGTTAATTTCTTACTGTGCCAAATTCGTAAGCTTTATCATAAGTATGTGTGCAGAGGGAAAACATGTACTCATAGGGTTCGGTACTGTGTTCAGGGCATTCCCTGGGGTCTTGGAACATGCCCTTCATGTGTGGGGGGACAGGTGTTCTACAGCCCCCCAGTACTCCAGTAGGCAAGAAACCATTGCACTATTTTGACGTCTCTCTCCCTGGCTCCTTCCTACACAAATGCAGTCTGATGCAAATCCTGCCAGTCTTCTTGAAATGTCATGTTACTCAGATCCCCAAGATGGTTGTGACACTTAAAGGCAGAGTGAGAGGAAGGGCATTCCAGAGGAGGGAACTGATGTCTAAAGGCACACATGTTGGGAACCGGCCCCGGTCACTTGGCATGTGTTTCAGAGGTTTGGTGGCCAGAACCCCTTCTGACTCCACGTCCTTCAAAAGCCCTTCTCCTGTTGGCTCTTAGTTTCCTGGAGAGCCTGTGGAGCCCAGTAATAGTTTCTGTCTCCATCATTTCTCCAGGAGCAATGAGCTTCTGATGTCCATTGCCCAGGTGAATGCAGGACTTCCTGCGCTCATCGCAGAACAAACCGAGGATCTCCCTGACTCCATTGCTTTTCCACGTGGGAAACAAGCCTGTGTCCTTCAGCCTTTGAAGTTTGGAGCCAGGCTACTGCCTTTCACCACCAAAGAGGCCAACCAAACTTTTCCACCTTGGTCTTTCTTCTGAGTCCCACAGGAGACGGGTCTCCACCCTTTCACCACCTGCTGGCTCTGGCCCCAGCTCTGAACCTTGACTCGGGAAGTTTTGGCTCATGGAGTGATGACAGGGTATTAGTTCAGTGTGGCTGGGCCTCTGGGGCACTGGCCGGGTAGGAAAGGAGAGCTCTCTTGGCCTCTTCATGGAGGACATTTATGTGAGTTTCAAAAAACAAAGCAGTTGTACTGTACACACCCTGACCACACCTGCCCGCCTCTTCTTGGAGCCGGCCTGGGGAAGGCCTGCCTGGGGCTTAACCTGGGCCTGTGTTCATGGGCAGTCATGCAGCATCTTCAAATGCAAGGTGCCACCTCCTGAGGTGAGATCTAAGAATTCCCATGAGCCCAGAATTCTTCACTGTTGATAGCTTGTTGATAGTTTCTAGTTAAATATAGAAATTTTGGTAGCTGCCACCAGCCTTTGACAATATCACCCAGAGATAGAGAGATTTGACCTGGGACCTTGGGGGGGGGGCTCTTCTGGTCGCCATGGAAACTGATTGCAACTGTAAGCATGAAGCGGATTGTTGACCAGATCGAAGTGTTCCGAGAGACGCGGTCCCTGGTGGGTTTACATCTCTGCCAGTCTGTGCCATCTCTGTCGGGCTTCATTCCTTCTCCCGGGGTGTGTGACCTATGTGAAGCTCACAGTTCTATGATGCTTTCTCTGGGGTCTTCCAGGGGATCTCCTGCCCCCCGCCCCGAGAGGAGGAGATGCAGGAGGGGGGATAGGAGATTCTGACTGGAACCCACAGAGGAGCTAGGTGAAGCTGGAGAAGCCACGCATTTTCCTCAGTGAAAATCGGATGGACACTCACAACGCCTGGCCTACGTTGCCATCTGCTTAAAGGAGATCAAATACAGGGGAGTGACTTGTGAATTACAAAGCACCATACAAATATCAATTACCATTATGGTCCTTGACTTCCCAGCAGTCCCCAGGGGCTGGAATAAGAGCCAGTAACTTACAGAATAATGAGAATAATGACTAACAATTATGCAGTACTCACAGCTCTGAGGAACCACACTTCATGTGAAGTATTTAATTCCTCGACCCCTAGCGTAGATATTGTACTAGGCCTTTCGGCTCCAGGCGAGGACTGGAGGTGTGGAGGGCTTGTGGTCGGGAGTTCAAGTTTTCCCTTCAGCAAACACAAACATCCTGCTCCAGGAGGGTCCACTCTTTTGCAGTGCTGTGGTGTGGATGCGACGTGTCCCTCAAAACTCCTGTTGATGCAGGAATATGCAGAGGTGAGATGATGGCACTGTGAGACCTGTACCCTGGTCAGTCCATGCTGGTTCGAATGGACTGACTGGGTGCTTACCGTAGGCGGTGGGTGGGGCTGGAGAAGGTGGGTCGCTGGAGGCTGCCCTGGGAGGGTGCATCTTCCCTGGGGTCCCTCCCCTGCTCTCTGACCCCGTCTTGAGCAGAGCAGCCTTCCTTGTGCCAGGATGTCTGACCCGCCTCGGGCCCAGAGTTAGGGAGTCGAGGTCTGAGTCCACGGACTGAGGCCTTTGAAACCCTGAGCCCAGATAGACGTTCCCTCCTCCAGATTGTTCTGCTTGGGTTTCTTGGTCACAGCTATACAAAGCTGACACATAGTGTGTCCTCACGCCCACAGTGTCCGGGGCACATGGCCAGGCCCTTCCTCGGAGCTCCGCGCCATCTTACTCTTCTCTGGGCCCTCTATGGTCTCCCTTGCTCCCTGGGTCTCCTTCCTGCCCAGGGTGGAGGCTGGTCTCCATCTCTGAGGGTCGTGGTAAGAAGTCCTGCTCTAGGGCCTGGGAACAAGGCCCTGTCCTCGGGGGCTGAGGGGATCTCTCTGCTCAGGTATCCTGACTCCTTGATGATCTTTTGCCTTTGACCAAAATCAACCCCAGGAGAAGCACCCCAGATCTTTGGAATGTGAGCTCTTGAGTTCTGTCTTGGGCCAGCGACACTCCCCGACCCGGGGTCAGGTGCACCCCTCAGCGTAGTGCCCCTGAGGGTCTGGGGTGAGGACTGGTGGCAAAGCAGTGCCTCCATACACCCACTGTCCCTGCTGGCTCCTGCCTTCTCACCCTGTCTTCCAGGCCTTTCGAGTGCTTTCTGGTCACTCTCTGGGGCCTGTTCCTGGAAGCTGCACCTGGTGTTCCAGGCCCTGACCCATCAATCAATGCCCCTTTCCATTTCCATGTCCTCCCAATTCCAGTCAGGACCTGGGTCAGGGAGAGGATCCCAGCTCGCACCCTACCCTCAGGCCCTGGAAACGCCCCAGCCAACTCAGCCCAGATCAAGCAGCCTCCACCAGGCCCACTTTGCAGGGTGCGCATATTTTTTAAAGCAAAGCCTGCCTGTCGCTCTCTTGGGCTCTAAATCAAATGCACGTTGCTGGGGCTGTCTCCGAAGAAGCCGATTGGCTGTGTTAATAGTAACAATGCACTCATAATGCTCTTTTCAATTTGAATTAATTTTTGCAGCTAATTCTAGCTACTGAATGTCTTCATTTAAAATACACATATCCATGGATTTTGTTCAGTATTTTAATTAGGCCCAAAGGAATATACTTTCAAATTTGGGCACACTTCATTTGTTATATTAATGAAAAGGCGCCTTAAATCAAGTTTCACGCTGAGGTTTCATTGTGTATGCTGCTCTCAGACACCTCTAAAAGAGATTTACGGTCCAGGTAGTAACCACAAATACTGGCAGTGGACATGCTGTTAATTTAAAACGGAAAGTTTTCTTTTGAGGTGCAGCAAGAAAAAAGAAGGTGCAGCTAACTTCCCCGGACAGTGGCCACGCCCCACCCAGGCGCGGGATCAGAGCCCTGCACCGAGGGCCTGAGCCGCAGCCGCTGACTTCCTGTCCTCGGTGACCTGTGTTGGGTGACTTCACTGTGGAAGTGCCTAAGATGGAAAACAGAGATTTCAGATAATAGGATGCATCTTTTTAAAGAGGACTTTTAAATGTGCAGGCAAAATGTGTTATTCTTGGCTGGATGAGATTCAGCAGGAAGAGCACTGAAGGGCTTCTTTAGGGAAAGTTCTCATAGAATACAAGAGTGTAGTATGTGAAGCGTTCCATGAAACATCTGGGATTCACATCTGGCCTGACTTTAAACATCCTACTTATTATTATACATTAATGCACGATAACAGCAGTTTGTTGAGCACTTGCTCATTGTGGCCGGGCTCATTATGCCATCAACCTACCTGCTGGCCTCTCTAGTCACACTGGCCTGGTTGCCTGAGGATCACATCAAATTCTTTACTACCTCAGGGCCTTTGCACATATGTTAACCATCTGCCCAGAATGCTCTCCCTGGGCTTGGTGTGGTAGCATCTTTCCCGTGCTCCAAGACTCCAGGAGGGCACTGCTAACCATCCCGCCGGCCCCTTGGAATGCTCTCACAGAGCATTGTTGGAATTTTTTTTTTCCTTCTTCCTACCAATGGCCCCAATCCTGGAGTTATATTAGTTTTGTATTTACTTGTTTTGTTTCTCTTTCACTTACAGTTGTCAGATAAAATACAGGATGCCCAGTTAAGTATGAATTTCAGATAAGCAATGAATACACTATTGACATATATGATAAAAGAAGAAAATTATTGTTTACTGAAATTCAAACTTACCTGGACATCTCCTCTACTCATTTGTTAAATGTGACCCTTCCCAGGGCCCATCTCACTGGGTGCTCAAGAATTATCCACTGAACACACCTTCGCACCCTGGCAGACCCCCTGGTTGGCGCCCCTTCCAGACACCACACAGAGGACTGTTACCAGCCCGGCCACTGTGTCCCACACCCTGAACACATCAGCACCCAGTCCTCCTGCTCCCCAGGTCAGAACACTGGAGCCCGGAGCGGGTCAGCAGAGCTCGGGGACCATGTGAACAAGAGGGCTGGGAGCCAGTGCGGGGAGATCAAGGCAGACCTTCAGGGTGCACGGGCACTGTGGGGAAGAAGGGGCTGTGGGGCAGGGCCCGGCAGGCAGGGAGGTGGCAAGTCTCAGCGAGAGGCAGAGGCGGCAGGCATGACCTCAGAGAAAGGCGCATCCCCGAGAGGCGCTGTCGTCATGGAGACCAGACACACAGGCCAGGGGGCTGGGGAGGCAGGAGCAGGGCAGCTGTGGGGACAGCATTCAGGGGAGCTCTGCATGTACGGCTCAGAGGGTCACTGAGCACAGAGCACCCAGACCTGTCGAGGAGGCAGGGGCTGCGACTCCGATGGACAGGAGGTGTTCTGGAAAGTTCCAGAAAGATGCCAGAGGCAGATCTTCAGGAGACAGCATCTCCTGCCAGACAGAATCCTCCAGAGGACGCACCTTTCCTCCTTCAGGGCCCACAGAGACCCAGGGTCCCTGCTGGCTGGCAGTGCTAGGCCCCCTCCTCAACCCTGCTGCCAGGGGGGCTCCTATGGATGCGCCTCCTACGAGGCCATGCTCTCTGCTGCCCCT